ATCCACGTTTGTAGCCCTCTCGCTCGATACCTGTGGCAGACTATGCAAAAGCAGAATAAAACTTTTTATGAAGCTGAAGTCAGCTTCTCATTCACCAGCTTCTTGTTTGAATCTTCCCACTTTTCCTTAAATGGTGCCCGAGTCACCAGAATGCAACTGCTGTACCATTTAAGGTGGAACGGGGAAATGTGAAGAAGAAGCCGGTGAACGAAAAGCTGACTTCAGCTTCGCGACTTTTTAGTGTTTGACAGTTTCTTGTTGCGGATTAAACATATCAGGAAACCAGCTGAGTGCTTATAAATGCAAATAAGTACACTCCTCTCTAAATTATCGATGTTTGCCTTAAGTCTTTCTCTTTGCCGTTTCATTAGCTACTAGCTAGGCAAGATTATTGTCTGCATTGCTATATGACTAGCAGTCTGCATGCCAGCGTTCAGGGTTAAAGGTTGGTGAATTAGCAGTTATCATTAACTCCAGTGTTTAAGACCATTTATTGTTAAACTGTGTTAGAACGGTCAGCAAAGCTTTATTTTACTGCAGTAGAGGGCTCCTGGTCTAGAGCTACGTACACATGGCAGTGTTTGTTCAAATCTAAACTAGAACCAAAAAAAAACTGTCTACAGGGGGCAAGTTTAAGATACCACAGGCATCTACAAACACATTTTATTGCGCATTGCACTGTGTAGGATATCTACCATGGAATGCCGCATCGTGTAATTTTACTTGGCCGCAAATGCTTCTGTGAGCCGAGAAAGCCATGTGTAGCCTGGCCTGCCATGCCATCGGCAACTCGCTGAAGACTAAACATCATCTGAGGCTAAGAAAGCCATCACTCATTGTGCGTGTGTGTGGCTGTGTGCGAGAGTCCACAGGGGTTATTTCCAGACTCGACCCCACTAAACCGAACATGCTCAAGCTTCCACATCCCTCCCCACAGCGCTGCAGGAGAGACATAAAACACTGCGCCCTACATGTCAGGCTAGTATGCTTCTCAGGGGCACCTGAGTATTCTGAGCAGAACTAACACATTGGTTACAGCACTAAACTAAGTGGTAATGTTGTTTATGGGGTTTTGTGCGTATGTGATTCAGCTTGCCATTTTAGTAGTGTATTAGTCTTGTGGGGCCAGATGTGATCTCGTAAGAAGCATACACATCTGGGGACAAGTTGTTAAAGTTTTAGTGCTGGATTGTGGCAAAATCTGTGGCAAATAAAGATACATTCCCTCTAAGGCTGTTCCCACATTTAATGTGCTAAAGTCTGAACAAGAGTTTGGATTTTTGTGACATTTTTCATTTGGTTTGGTTGGTTTTACACTGCAACGCCTAAAGTGCACCAAATTACACATGTAAGTGCTTTTTTTATTGGTGGGAAATTTTGCAGGGCTACAAGCTCTCTGTTACTCTCACATTTGCCACCATTTAAGCCAAAAGAAATTCCTACCTTGCATGAAAACAGATGCTTAATGTCTACAGTCAAAGCAGTAATAGTAATCTTTACCTGATATTTGTTTCTTTATGACCATATGCCAAAATGAAATGAATTATTTCATTGCTTGGCTGTTATTAACAGCAGCTTGTGCTGCAAGAATGATATGAGCGACTGTAAAGAGTCAGAGGTTCAAACAGGCAGACTATACAGGCGCTGTCATGCTGCTAGAAGAAGCAGGAAAGCATGCTCTGAAGCTGATTTCTCTCGTGTGGTGTGGACCATCACAAAAATGCCATCCCACCAGCAGCGAACTGAACCAGGGTTCATTGGGAAGCGAATCGAGATCCGGGATTTTTGGCAGTCCAAGATTTGTTTGGTGCAGGTATTTACACCAGTCAAAATGGTCCAGACTAAGGACAAAGTTCCATAGGTCCACTTCAAATGAAGTAAGAGTGAAACCTCCCTGAACCCCTGTTCCTCTGGTCCATGCTCTTTTAACGGCCAGAGTACAATCAATGCGACAAGCAAAATAAGCAAGCTAGCAAAACATTTTTAGCTAACAGGACTGTTTTTGCCTTGCAAGAGATGATGTTTACTGCATGTAATATTCTCCACATATGTGACCTTCATCTTCATGCTTATTTGGAGTTCTTGAGGGGACTTTTCAGCCATGCTAACTTAATTTACATCCAAAGTCTAATGTATAGACTTGTTGCCCTCTACTTTCAACTTTGCCTTCACAAGGCATTGGATTAGTTTAGAAACAGCGCTCTTGGTCTGTTCTCACCCTAATAAGTCTACATTCCCACCCATACACAGCTCCAAATTTCTCATGGTTGTCCCCAGACATTCTCGTTATGAGATCATGTCTGGCCTTGCAAGACTGGCATCGCATAAGCTTGCCAGTGGGGTGGTGTGCAATGTCAGATGGATGCATATTACTGTGTAAATGTTGGCTGTGTACAGTAAACAGACTATCTAAGCAAGGAACAGCGTCACCTAAACATCTTCTCTTCTGCCGTACAACAAATACATCATCAAATATCAGTCTAAAATATCAGTCAGGTCTAAAAATAATTTTTTAATCAATTCTCTGCAGATACTGATATCAGCATCCCTACATGCTGCCTTTTTTAAACGATATCAGAAGCATCAGTCATTCTGCAGTCCTCCTCTCTCTCCATAGTATTTGATAGTCATCGTGCTCTTAAGCAGTGACCACATAGTAAAATGCACTCTCTTTAGTCTCCTTACAGTCTCTTTTCTTTGTTTTGGTCATTTGTAACAGAAATAGTCATTCAGAACAACTGCAAGAATGCAGTGCCTCATGGTCTTCTACATGTAGGTCTATCTACCACCTAAATGCATGTTTGAACAGTGTAGTGGTACTGAGAATATGCTTTTCATACTTCAGGGAAATTCCACTGGTTTCTGATAGTTTGATAGTCTACAATACAAATATAGCCAAATAAATTTACTATCCAAAACAGCAAGTGAACCTACACTTTTTTATGTTGAGGTTAATAATGGTAAAATAGTGTTAAAAACTGACTCTTTTACTAGATATGTATTTTAAAAGTGTTTTAGGCCAAAAGCATATCATAAAACTATCGTAAAACTATAACTCGGCATCAGGCAACGTATTTGTAACCATTTTGTATAATGTTCTGTAAGGTATCTTTTAGCTTTACAGAACACTTGGAGAATTTCTCATCAGATCACTCTGAATGACTTTATTTACATCTTAAAAATGAAATTATGCAGAAATTTAGAACAATCAATGAATTTCCAATTTAATATGCACTAAATATACCGTTTACTAGCAGTTTTGTCCACTAATTTATATTGTGGTCTTTGTACAATACAGATGGATGAATCTCAATGCTAAATGTAAGACAGAAATGCAATGCCTGAGGACTCCAAGCCATTGCAGCCACCACAGAGAGCATTAAATTTCCACTGCTGACTAGCACACTGTAGTCATGACAGGTCCTGACATCTGGATTTGGTACAATGTAGTCCTGACAAGTCCCAAAACCTGGATTTGGTTCAGTCTCACTGTGGACTGAGTGCTGATGAGGGCAGTTGTGTGCACCATGCACAAAGGAGGAAGGTACTTGTGATTCACCTGGAAATCACTGTAAAAATGACAGCACTTTTTCATGATCCATTTTCATTTGCGCATTGAGAATGCATAGACATTTAAGCATAGTCGTCTACGGTGGAAGAAGTCCATATTTTTATAGTTTAAGGCCGCAAAACATTAGTAACGTTTTTTGGAGACCATAGCTGTGTCTGAATGAATAGAATGAAACTTCAGTTACAGATCTGATAGCTGTGTGAATCCACATGCAAGTCAGCTTTGTCAGTGTATAAAGTATAAGTGATAGGCTTGAGCTGATTGACAAGTGTCAAAAATCACAGATAGATTTAAATAAATTCAATAATTTGAAAACACATTATTTGCAACTTGCTTGATGCACAAAAGGAAACCATTTGTCTCATCTGTTTTCTTTTAACATGAAATTCATGTCCTGTATGAGTCTTGATACTTTTTTCCTCAGATTACTGTGTTCTTGCTTGCTAAAGCTGTGCTGCGGCCTGTCCGCGCACGGAACACTTTTCTTCACAAAACATGAATGGGGGCTTAACTGTTGGACATTGTGGTTCCATCAAAATTATTAAAGAAAATTTTATACATTGCTGCCTAGTAACAATAGTGGGTTACAGTAACTGAACACAGTAAGCTTTAAAGGCAATTAATGCAAGAAAATTCTACCACATCATGCCAAAGTCAAAACGGTTTGCTTTGCAAGTTATCAGGTTTCTTGGAAAGTGGCTCTTGCATGCCCGCCACAAGACCTCCACAATACTGCTGTCAGTTGATGCTGGCTAGGGGTGCAATCGGATAAAGGTATATCGCACATGATCTCAAAAGCCTTTTAACTGAGGTATTGGGGTACAGATCATGCAAAATCAAGGCAAGCAGATAGGAAAGGAGCTCTCTTCAGCTATTTGGGTGTAGCCCATGTCCATATGGTGTTGTATAACTTGTGGTGAAGTAAACCTACTGCTCACTAAAATTATAGTAATGACATACATTCAGTCTGTGTTGGAGAAGCATCATGGAAGATCCAAAGCCAGGAACATGTTTCATGCAGTTTCCTTAGACATTCCCATCCTCCTCCTGGGGTTGATTTGTTTGTCCGTGAATTTCTGCTGTTTTACAATGTGTTGTGCGCTGTCTGTTCCCGTTCGGTAAATCTGTGCAATGCTGTCAAAGTCTGATTCAGCAGCATATGTTGCTGTCACAGGCCAATCCAAAATTCCAAGCCCGAAGTATTTATTGTCTTTGAAAAAGCAAATGTGTTGTCATGTTGACAACCGCTTATGTGTATTTCCACCGTGTGGTTCAGAGATATTTCACCTTAAATGTCTTCTGCAGGAACCGCAAAGATTTGTGAGTCAGTCCTGGACTCTCAGTGACAGTTATGATGCTGTTTGTATGTGGATTCAGCCATTTGTGAAGTCTTGACTTTGTGTTCATTTTGTGTTGTTTGTGCCTGCAGGTGGCTGGATGTCGGTGTGGCTAATTTGACCTGCACACAGTACTGGGTCACCTACCTGCAAGTGCTGCAGGATGCTGTGTGGCCTGGGGGACGCCTGCCCACCCACCCACGGCCTCAGCGCACCCAGCAGCAGAAAGACGAGACCAAGCAGCAGTCGCTGCAGTGCTTGATGAAGCTGGTGCCAGGTATTTCTTAATGCCTAATGAAACAAGGCTTCTTCTTGTGTAATTTACAAAACATTAACAAACACAAACCTAATTTCCGGAAAAGTCGGGACATTTTGTAAAATGCAATAAAAATAAGAATCTGTGATTTGTTAATTCCCTTGAACCTTTATTTAATTGAAAAAGGACAAAGAAAATATTTCCACTGTTTTCACTGAACTATTAATTTTATTTTGTAAATATGAACAAATTTAGAATTTGACTGCAACACACTCAAAAAAATTGTGTTTATTCTTGCTTGATACAAGACTTCAGCTGCTCACCAGTCTGTGGTCATCATTGTCTGATTCTCCTCTTAATGACGCGGCATACCTTTTCAATAGGAGACAGATCTGGACTGCAGGCTGGCCAGTCAAGCACACGCACTCTGTATACGAAGCCATCCTGTTGTAGCACATGCAGAATGAGTCAAATTGAGATTAAACCCCCCCCCAATCTGATGGTTGATTAGAACATTGGAGTGCAGTTAATTATTTGTACATAAAATTTTGTCCACCTGCCAAAGCACTTTTTCTCTCGCCAAATCCAACCAAAATCCGCACAATTTGGCAGGAACTCGCTTAGTCTCGCAACACTGAAGTAAAAATTGGCAGTTATATTTTCCAGAAAAGATGAGCTCCTAGAATTTGGAACTGGATGATGTGCCATTATTGCTGTCAACAGCCACTAAAAAGCACGTTAAAAGGACACCTGTCGTTCGCACTAAACAACAGTAATGCTAAGAGTAGACCAGTTGTCCACACCAAACAACAGCAATGTTAAAAGTACACCAGTTATCCTCACCAAACAGTAATGATAAAATACATAAATGCATGTACTCACCGCAGAACAATGGCATGAACTTTGGTCACAGCTATTCCAACAAGCCGCTGACAGAACAAGTCTGAAATCTGTCTGAAATTGCCTTTCTTGTCCATTTCTGTCCTGTGACCTGCATATGCTGCTGAAATCCCCTTTGCATTTAAAAATGAACTTGCTCCTCTGTTACAGACAGTAATGGACATACACACACCAAGTACTTTATTAGGAACACTATACTAATTCTGGGTTAATTCACTTTCAAAACAGCCTCAATTCTTCATTGCATAGATTCCACAAGATGTTGGAAAAATTCCTTTGAGACTCTGGTGCATGTTGACTTGATTTTTCAGGAGCATTTTCATGCTGCCTACCTCCAGTTCTGCCACATCATAAAGGTGTAGTATTGGATTCAGATTCAGTGACAAGGCCACTGAAGAACTCTGAACTCATTGTCAAGTTCATAAAACCAGTTTGACATGACGTTTGCTTTGTGACATGGTGGATTGTCATGCTGGAAGTAGCCGTTAGAAGATGGGGACACTATGGCCATGAAGGGATGCACATGGTCAGCAATAATACTCATAGGCTATGGCATTCAAGCAGTGATTGATTGGCATTAACAGGCACAAAGTGTGCCAAGAAAACATTCCTCACACCATTACACCACCTCCACCAGCCTAGACTGTTGACACAAGGACAGTTGGGTCCATGGATTCGTGCTGTTGGTGTCAAATTCTGACCCTGCCATCTGTGTGCTTCAGCAGAAATAGAGATTAACCAGATCCAGCTTCTTTTTTCTGAAATTTCAACTGTCCAGTTATGGTGAGGCTGTGCCCAATGCTACCTTAGCTTTCTGTTCTTGGCTGACAGAAGTGGAATCCGACATGGTCTTCTGCTGTTGTAGCCCATCCACCTCGAGGTTTGATGTTATGTGTGTTCTAAGATGCTACTCTGCTCACCACAATTGTTAAGAGTGGTTGTCCTAGTTACCGTAGCCTTTCTGTCAGCTCGAACCAGTCTGGCCATTCTCCATTGACCTCTCACATCAACAAGATGCTTCTGTCCGCAGAACACTGACACACTGGATGTTTTTTCTTTATTGCACCATTCTGAGTAATTTCTACAAACTCTTATGCATGAAAATCCCAGGAGATCAACAGTTATAAAATACTTAAACCAGCCCGTCTGGCATCAACAATCATGCCATGGGCAAAATCACTGGGATTACTATGGGGGATGGTTGATTACCTGTCGTTATCTTTAAACAAAGTACTTAAAATGATTTCATTGAGTAGATTTTGTGCACCAAGCACATCTCTGACAAAATTAAATCAATAGATGTTTCTGAAACATTCATTTTGAAGAATTGACATGAGCTAATGATAGCATTTTGCTTGCTAGACTGCTTTGTGTTATTGATTGTACTCTGGACATTAAAAGAGCACGGACTAGAGGGATATAGGGGTGGGTTTTAGAGGGGGTGTACCCTTGTTGGTGGCGGAACTTGCCATAGTCCAGCACCAAAATTTCAAAAAGTTTTCCCTGGACACGTATTCCTGGTATGGGGTCGTCTGGACCCGTGAGACTACTTAAATGGCAGCTTTTTGTTAGAATTTTCCGGTCCACCTTGAATGGAACAACAGTTACATTCTGGCATCTGTACAAACGCCTGAATGTAATTGCTGCACCGTTTAAGGTAGAACGGGAAATTCAAATAAGGAGCCAAGTTCAGCTTCATTGAATTTCTCAAGTCATTTGTCTCATACGTGCGTCCCGTACACTTGTGCCTCCAAATGCCAGACACTGCTTGAATTTGGAAAATATTACAGTCATTTACACTATCAGTACCAGCTGGTCCATGGCCCCAGAACATTGTCTGGTGCAGCTGATTGAGTCAGATGGCTCCTTTTACCTTTTATGAGAGTAAATAGAAGTGCTCTGATGTTCTTGTTAGGCTGTAGTCAACCCCAAAAGATTGACCATTCTTTTATGTCCACTACCTTGAAACCAAAGTCGACTACTTCAGATGCAACAGACTGTACAGTGGGAGGTGATCAAGGGCCTGCTCCCTTTTCATTTACATTTGAAACATGACAAAAAATGCTGAATGGGCTAATGTTAGTGTGGTTTCCACTGTTTGTACGTCGTGTCATCTGCGCTTACTTGTGGCATACCAGTATAAAAGTTATGACAAAACTCATACCTGAGGAGGAATTTCAACTAGTTGAACTGGTATCCCCCCCAATACTACTATAAGCATGATCTATAAAATGACCTTTGGTCTGAGGTTTGCTTGTTTACCATCATTTGTGGAAGTCCCTCTCAATTAATTGATCAATATCACATTTTAATAAGATTTGAGCAGCTTATAGTTAATGCTTAATTTTAGATTCAGCATACATTTTGCCCATACCTAATTGTGCTTTTGTGACACAGATCTTTTTAGAAATATTGCAATATTTTTGATCAAATAATAGAACTATTATAAAAAAAATTAAGATATTAAAAAGTAGGAACTATATTGTGTGAGAACATGGTACCAATATTTAGTTTTGAAAATGTGTATGTATATAGTCACGTGAAGAAGTAAGGACACACCCTGAAATGTTTAGACCTTTTCAGCATTTCAAATGTGGAAAGTAAGTATCTGGTCTGGTGTGCTGTTTGTTATTGGAGTGTGTGGTATGATCTTAACTAGATCAGAAGAGCTCTCTGAGGCCTTCAGATGTTATAGATGCCTATGAGTCTGGGAAGGGGTTTAAGAAGAAATCCAAAATATTGGAAATCAATTTTTCCACTGTCTGGAATCTCATCTACAAGTAGAGAAGATTTAAAACCACTGCCAACTTGTTCAGGCCAGGCTGCCCCAGCAAATTTAACCCAGGAGCAGAATCTAAGATGCTAAAGAACCCCAAGAAGTCTCTGAGAACCCCAGAATTTCATCACAGGATCTGCAGGTAGCTCTTGCCACTGTTGATGCAAAAGTGCATGCATCTGCCGTTACAGACTAGACTGCCCAAATTTGACCTACATAGGAGGTGTGCTAGGAAGAAGCCTTTGCTGTCTAAAAATAACATCGGGGCAAGACTAAAGTTTGCTAATGAATGTCAAGGGAAGGACCAGGACTTCTGGAACGGACGGACAAATCAAAGATAGAGTTGTTTGGCCGCTGTACTAGAAGCCATGTTTGGTGAAAACTAAAGACAGCATATGAACAGAAGAACTTCATACCCTCTGTAAAGCATGATGGTGGAGATATTATGGTTTGATGCTGCTTTGCTGCCTCTGGGCCTGGCCAACTTGCAGTCATAGAATCGACTATGAATTCTCTTTTATACCAGAGAGTGCTTGAGGAGAATGTGGGACCCTGTGTAAAAAAAAAAATTTAAGCTAAAGAAGTGGATGTTCCAACGGGATGATGATCCCAAACATACAAGGAATGTTGCGAATGGCTTAAAAGGAAGAAATGGGGGGTTGTGGAATGGCCTAGTTAAAGCCTAGATCTGAAATGCTTTGGGGGAATTTGAAATGGGCTGTACATGCAAGAAACAACTCAAACATTGCATAGTTGAAAGAGTTCTGCATGGAGGAATGGGCAAGTACTTCCCAGTAATGATCAGAAACTGGTGGACAGTTATAGGAAATGCCTACATAAACTTACTATTGCCAAAAGGGGCAATACCAGATACTGAGGCCGAGGGTGTACTTACTTTTTCAACACACAAAAATGAGATCTCAATTATTTTTTTTAAATAAATTATTGTAAAAATTTCTATTGTTTTTTTTTTTTGTATTACATAACATTTATCTATACATACTGTTTAACTGAAGATCGAGTACTTAGAATGTCCACGTTTATCACAAAAAGAGAAACATTTCATGGGGTGTTCTTCACAGGACTGTATATGTTTTAGCCAAACCTGTGTATGTACTAAATTAATATCTTATTGTATCAAGACATTTTTAACACTCTCGATGGCAGTGTGCCCCTCCTGCTTGCTAGACAGGGAACAGAAAAAAGTCTAGCCATTCAGTTGTAACAGTTCAAATCAGTATGACAGTCTGAAACTGGTGTGCATCAGTTTAAAACTGTTTGTCTCAGCAGTGTGTTTTTGCTGGTAAAACACTAGATAACATTACAATAACGTCAAAAATAAATACAGAAAAGCGTAATCTTTTAAATGTTTAGTTAATGTCTTGTTTAGAAGAACACAATTTTGGTTAATTTAATGAAGGATTAGCTGAAGCTGGTATTGTATGGTAACTGTAAATGGACTTCCTCGAGCAGAGCTTTGGAAAAGGTTAAGCTAACAAACTTGCACTGGATTGTTTATTTGTATGTATTCTATTGTTTCTGTTTTTTTAAACAAATAAATGCTTAGTGCCCAGATAATTAGCTTTACAGATCATTTTCTTCTGCACACGTCTATATAGGTGTTTTTCCCCATGTATAGCTAGCTATTTTTGCTGAACAGAACAATATAATCCTTTTAGTCACAGATTCGTGAATATGCAATAACATTGTCTCCATCATCGCTGTCACAGTAAAACAGTTTGCCTTCTTCACTCAACACTCCTAAATCTGTTGCACGAGCGTGTGACAGCGCTGTCTGCTGTGTTTACAGATCTGCTCTCAGATATGCTGGGCTCCGAGAAGTACAAGCTCTCCTGGCAGACACTGCTGGACTCCATCCAGGATCCTACCATAAACAGGTCTGTCTCAGAACACACACACACAGATGGAACAATCAATACTGCAATCAGTTTCATTACACAACATGCACAAATGTTTTTCCCCCCGAAATTACAAATCCTGCACGTACAGAGAAATTTGGTCATTAAGGAAAAGGCCTGGTGAGACCAAGCAAAAGCAGTCATTAGAGTTAAATAGCTCTGTACTCAGAGCAGAAAGTAGTGATGATATCAGTTGATTTTATGATTGATATTCACAGCCACTTAAATCTGTATTAAACCTCTAACACAAATTTTTCTTTATATTCACAATCTAGATGATTGTTGTTGACTGCTAGTTAGTGTTCTGCAGAATTAGTGCTGTAGTGTCAAATCTAAGTATATTTTGCCCTGTATGCATTAGGTATCTACCGAGATTCAGCATCAAATTTATGGTCAAAAAAATGAAACAGACTTTAAAGAAACTTGCACAGTCTTAAATAATATACAGTAGTGTTTGGGTGTCCCTGGTCAAATGATGTTTTGTTGATTTTCTAAACGAAAGTAAATTAACACATCCTCTACAGAGAACACACTTTTGCACATTTTAATGCACAATTACTGTTTATCTGCTGAATTTATTTTTTGGTAATAGGTTAAACTCAAAGGAAATAAATAGAAATTGTGCACTAAACTTGTACTAAACAGAAAATGCCATATTTGTGTTCTATAAAACACTTAAAACACTTAAATGTCCTCATAACCTTTAAACAGGCAGATAACAGTGTGGATGTTGTTTTTTTCAAAATAGCATATCCTTACGCTACACTACTGTTTAAAGGTTTGGAAAGAGTATTGCAGTCATTTAAAACCATTTTATTTTCAGATAAATCTGTGAAATTAATTCAGTATTTTAATCTTGAGCAATGCCATAAATTTCAAATATTTGAAATAGAAACTTATAAACTTTAAAAAATACTGAGATGCTAGATATGTTCGGAATGAATAGAGCTGTAGTTACATGATATTTGATGATGTAGTTATAATTACTTGAGTAATAAGTTTAACATCTAGTTTAACATCCAGAAAATCTAAGTATTTGAAAGGTGGTAGGCGGTCAAATTTTAATAGATACAAAAATGATTGTAAATATTTACAATCATATATCCAATTACAATATAGAGTTGATAGTATGTAATAATTCAATCTGTGAAATGTTGAGTAAAACATTAAAAAATGTACTTTGGCATCTACTTAAAACTACATCATATAAGGTATTATTGTATGTAAAATAATGCCAATTATTAACGTAACAATGACTTACAGAACATTCACAAACACATTGTGCTTTTTCCAGCGACCCAAGAGGTCTGTGGAACCTTAATATCAACTGATTGAATCGGCTAAGCCAGTGATTCCCAAAGGCAGTCTTGCACATTTTTGTGTTTTTCCTGCTCTAACAAACCTGACTCAGCACATGAGGAGCTTGTTAATTAGTTACTTTGTTGAATCAGGTGTGCTGGATTAGGGCTGTCAGATGGGATAAGAAATCAAATTTGAGTTTTCCACTTCTTTCTTTGTCAGATATTTAAACAAATATTATGTACATGCATATTATTTTTGCAAAGAAAATGAGCAGGATACATAATTACAGTAAATGTCAGATTCCTAAGTCAGCACTCAGCATGAATTATCAACCAACACCAATAGCTCACGTGTCTAAACAAGTGATTCTCAACCTGGGAGATGCAACTCATGAGATTGTTGTCAAAACGGTACATTGGCCTATTCTGCTTGTCAGGAAAAAGTGTACCACCTGAAGGAGATCATTCAGTTTCCTGATTCCTGATTTTCTTTCTGCCTATTAGCGTTCTTCAGCTTCTAAAGAAAACCTATGGCTTCGCTCAAAACGTCCGAATTGCTAAAAAGCTGCTGATAGACTGCAGATATTCCAAAACAAATTAAAACGAAAATCAAAACCAAAATAAATCACTGCGTTTGGTAGCCGTCATACATGGTAATGTTACCAAGTTGCGTGGAACATACTAGGAAATTCCCAGGGGTTTGGTGGGTGAGGACAAAGTACAGTCCTCATTAAATGGGGCCATTGCCCGGCTTTCTGACCTGTTAGAGCTACAGGCAGAACTAGAGCTACTAGCAAATCTGTTCTAATGAGAGCTAGAAAAGGTTCGAATCTACGTATGATAAGCAAGACTTTTTCCACACACAGTGAATGAGACTGTCTTTGGGAATCTGCGCATAGCAGTAATATGGATTAATGCCCATTTTCTCTGACTTTGAAAATTCACTTCAAATTTAGAAAGCGCTGAAATGAAATCCCTCTTAAAGAGTTTGATGAACATTTTAATGTTGAACTTAATTTTGACTGTCCTATGCTGGTTCAGGAAAAGCACAAATGTGTTTAGTGTGGGGTTCCCAGGACTGGAATTAGGGACCCCTGAGCTAAACAATGTATTGCTTAGGCTGTGATATCTGTGCATACTGTATGTTCTAAGCTAAGGCAAGTAGAGCAAATAGGGGCATGAGGAGTATATATAGATTAGACCAGGGGTCACCAAACTTCCTCCTGGAGATTTACTTTCCAACAGGTTTCACCTCCAACCCACATCTAACACCTCATTCAGCTCATTGAGGACTTCTGAAGGCAATAATGACATGGATCAGGTGGGGTCAATTAGACTTAGAACTAGGCCTGTCATAATCATGAAATTTAATAGTTGTATGCAACTATTAAAGTGCAAGTGGCCAAGTTGGCTGATTAGCTAACTTGCTGCTTAACTGTCAATACTTAGTAGCTCCAAAGTAAAGACTCGAGCTCAAATAAACGAACATTACTCACCGCTGCCCTCTAATGGTGTTATAGCACCCGTCAGAAATTAGAACTTTGGTTGTTTTTGTAAGACCCATGACATGTCTCAATAAATGTGTTCTGCTTTGTTGTATTCTGTTTGTTGTGACGTAAACAAATTATTGTAATAGCTCACTGTGGAAAATAATTGTGATCAGCCCAAATAACTGTGATTATGTAATAATTGTGACAGGCCTAGTTGGAGCTGAAGTCTTCAGGAACGTAGAACTCCAATAGCGGAGTTGGTGACCTCTGGTTTAGACTGTCTTTGTGTATGTGTTTGTGCTGAGCATCTGGCTTCTGACTATGATTCTGCACAGGCATCTGGTGTACTGCGTGTGGGAGCTGCTCATCGAGTTCCTCATCCCTGAGGCGTCCGATGAGGACTTTCAGAAAACCCTGCTCCACAGCCTCTCCAAAAATGCCGAGAAACTACCACCATAGGAGCTCTGGAAGACATCACCGCTGAACACACATGCGTTTGCACAAACATATCAAACCCTCTTGTTAAAAAAAGGTCAGCGGTCAGACACGAAGGTACATTCGAATGAATGAGCGGACACGGGATTGGTGGATGCTTTTGGGTCTGGCTCTGATTTAGCCCTTACATTTCTGGGTCTGAAACGCACTACATGTATCCGGCCTCGCTCTGATTGCAGGCCACCTGTTTTGTGTTTTATCAGACCAAGCCTGATCTCCAAAACACCCCTGTACCGGATCTGAACTAGAGGATTCTCAGACGCCTTAGCGAGCTCTTATCCACCTTCTTCCTGCTGGCGCTTTTGCGCAAACCTTTTACAGATGGCCGATGGCTGATGTCCATCTCTGAAATGCCATATCAAAAACCGAGACAGAATGGAAATTGGCTGTTGATTCTTTCCTCACTGTCCTTCTGTCTTATTCCCTTCTTTGTTGCTGGCCTTTTTCAAGGCAGTGCGAAAGTTTACCAGTCACCTGATTCCCTCTCTTGCCCTTTGCCGTGAGGGCTGCACTGTGAAGCACTTGATTCCTGTCTTTGCTTAGAGCCTTCTTCAGCAATCGCTAGCCTATTCTTGTCTTGTCTCCTTGCCGTGCATTTTGGCAGGAGTATTTTTTCCATGACATTCTGCTTTACTGTGTGATTTGCCGTTAACACGTTAACGTATGTGGCATGTGTTTTTGGTGTCATGCTGAGACCGTACGTGCTTTATGGGCTTTCAGCTATGTTTCACTCTTTACAACTTAATCTTAGTCTGTGCATGGCTTGTGACTTGGCTCTGCAGTACTTTCCTAATGTTGGCCTTTAACAAAGGTTATACATAATATGATTTAGAATAGCTCACAGAAGGGCCCAGTTGTATTAACCCAGATTGTCTTAACGGTTGAGTTTCAACACTGCACTCATCAGTCTTCTTTCCATTCCAAGTAATATTCCAACTAAGATGTTATATACATACCAGTCAAAAGTTTGCACACATCTGACTGTTTTTGCTTTTTTCATGATCATTTGATCTAAACACTTATGTCTCAAGATGACTGAATAAATTTGTTCCTACAACAAATATTAATAGAGGTTGGATACCTATATAGGAAATTATGTCTGAAATTATTTTTTTCAGTTCAAAAATTGAAATAAATACAGTATTGTGCAAAGGTCAGATACCATTTCTTAAAGGACAATCAAAATGGCCCTTTAGGACAAGTTATTCATTTTTCAAGAGGTATTTCTGAGTCAGGAAAAAATAAAGAGTTTCCAAAACTGAAGTTCAAAACAAATCATAAAAGATATAGTGAAATTGAGATGAGGATAAAACTGAACTCCACTCTTACTTCAGATCTGACAAAATCTAGGTGTTTCTGTCCATCCTTCCACTGTGAGAGGACAGCTCAGCACTATAAGGCTGAAAGGATGTGAAGCTGACAAGAAACCCTTACTGAGAAAAGAAAACAGAAAAAGAGAATTTGCTCATCAAACTAAGAAGCTGATGGTGTTCTCAGAACAATGAACTGATCACGTCCAGACCTCAGCATCACTGAATGCTTCGGATTGCTTGGATTGAGAGAAGCAGAAAATGCAACCAGCTTCTAAGAAGTTTGGAAGTATGGAGAAATATCCCAGCAGGTTTCTTTGAAAAACTGAAAATAAGTCTCCTGAGAGATTTTCTGCTAAATGTTTTTGTTCCTGATGCTGAAAAATTAAAAACTTTGTTTTGACTGTAAATTAATAAATGAAATGGTCTGGCTTTGGCACAGTACTGTATGCATTTTTAAATGGCCCCAGCAAGTGATTTTCAGCAACAACAAGGTATCAGTATATGTATTATCTTTGTTTCTGTTGAAAAAAAAAATAGCTCAAGTGTCCTCATGAAGGCTCTGGAGAGAATTCCAAGAATATGTAATGTTGCATTAGGTAAGGTAAAAGGGGATAAATGACTAAAAGAATCTAAAATATGATTAAGATTTGATTTAACACTTTTTTCTCTGCATAATTCCACGTGTGTTATTTTACTTGTTCTAATGTGGAAAATAGTAAAAGTGAGGAAAACCTTTCTATGAGTAGGTCTGTACAAACTGACTGGTACTGTCTGACATTATGCAAGACATACTGAGCTGCTGGTTTATCAGGTACACCTACTTTGTGTCTACACTAGTGGTTGTTCTATCAGGGCACATAGGTGCACTTTGTAGGTTCACATTTATTGTCTGTAGCTCATCTGTTGCTGCACAGTTTATCAGCTCCCCTCTACTCCATCCATCAGTGGATGGGGACACCACAGGACCACCACTGACTAGACATTCCTTGGGTTGTGGATAATTCTCAGCACAGCAGTGATCATGACATCGTTACATATTTTTGTGTGTTGTGCTGGTACAAGTTTTAGCATGTTTTTAGACAATGTGTACACACACTGTCCACTTTATTAGACGCAGTTATCTTGTTTTATCATTTTCTCTGCACAATGTGTTGGTTTTCATCTAATTCTTCATCAGTGGTCAGTATCTGACCACAGGTCCACTGTTGGCTGGATATTTTTGTTTGGCGCGCTGTTCTCAACTCACTGGTGATTCAGAGGTGTGGTACACGCATACCAGCGCTACACTCACAAGGTGTTGCTGATGCATAGCAACAGATGGAGAACAATAGTCGTCAACAACTCTGGTTCTGAAGATCTACCTTCCTGTGGAGTCTAGATCTAGCCACAATCTGCCACACCTGCTCCAGCTAATGAACTTCCTCAGAAGTCTTTAATTGGCTGGATTATTAATGTTAGTTAAGTGGGGGCAACATGTTGTATGCAGGTTGGAACTAAACTCTGCAGGAAAGTAGATCTTCACTAAAGGGTTTGGTGACCATTGGGGTACAAGCAGCAAGTGTAAACCTACTAAATGCACCTATATGGTATGTGTTTCTGATAAAATGGCGAGTGAAGGTAGGAACAAGGTAGGTGCACCTAATAAACTGGCAACTTTGTGTATATGCTTTGCATTAATTTAGTTCACTGTGCATTTTTTAACTTATTTATTTGGATGTAAATACTGAAGTGGATATTTTTTCCCCACTCTGTCTCTAAAAACAATACAAGATGTCTAAACTGCCTTAAAATGTATGTGAATAAGTCTAAACGTTGTCTGTAAAGTAGTAGAAATGGTGGCCATAAAGCTTAAATCAGTCTATGATGTTGAATACAATTAACAGGAATACTTGTCTGAACTGTCTTTTGTTAAATACTGGCACATTTACCTAATTTGGTTGAATGTTCTTCAGTATTGTTGTGTGAATGGTTTCCATGCAGTTATTCCTGTTATGGCCAGCAGTCTATAATGATTTCGGTGTTGATCTGTACATGCTATAATTGCAGCACAACTGTGATGGCAGTCCATTGTTAGAGGTCAGTTTTATGTGTATGTATGCCTTGAATGTTGCACTATTTGTAATTGTGTCAGTGCTGTTGTGGTTGGAGGACTTGTGATGTGTGCGGTGATTTAAATAAAGGTGCAAAGCACTGCAGACTTACTGCCTTGAAATATATTTGACTTACTGCTTAAATGGCATTTGCACATCATGTGGATGTAACATGCTTATTTCTTGAACAAGTATGAAGACTCAGTGTCCAGAACTCTGCAGAAGTGATCACAGGTTCCAGCTGCTTTTCGCGGTTCTATTGAGTTATGTGCTTGTGGAACAAGGTAGTGTACTGCAAACATCTTGTATGCTGAAAATTGTCTAAGCTATGTCTTCGGTTCACAGAGATGTAATGCAAAACACGTCAGAATGAGTCTTGTTTCAAACACCTTTAAGGCCAGTGGTGAGGCAGGAACATATTAAAGAACATTAAAGTACATTATATGTATTAGGGATTCACAACTGATGTCAGAATCATATTGGCATCAGCAGGTAATTAAATGTTGACTATACTTAATGTTTTATCAAGTGGTTTTGTGTTATTGTATTAAGTTTCTGCTAAGTTACAGTACTTGACTAAGTAATATGTACTTAATGAATACAAGTAAATCACACTAAAGTAATTTGAGTAAATTCTAATGAACTAGATTTTTATGTATTACCCAAAAATGAAATGTTGGATTTGCTTAAATATGTCAGATGATCCCATGGAAGTGTTTTAAGTAGCTTGGTTGAGTAATATGTACTTAATTATGTTACAAATTTGAAATAAAAAAATAACAAAGTCAATGGACTTAAGTTAAATCTACACATTTTTGGTAAGTTATTACTGTATTACTGAGCTGATGTAGAGTTGTGATACATGATAACTTGTGCTTACAGCCAGCAACATTTTGATGTGGTAGTTCACCATGGAGTGTTAGAAAGATGCACACACAATGGAAGGTAGGCCGGGGGAAAAGACAACACGAAGACGTGCAAACATGCAGTGTGCAAATAGATGCTAAGAGCCAATGGGAAAGAAGTTGAGTTTTACTCAATATTACATTAACCAAAGACTTACAAGATAAGTCTGACAGATCACTTAATTTCATTGAAACACTATATATAAAGTATATGGCTGTGTATAGAACCATTCTGAAAATGCTTCTGTAGCACCAAAAAAGGGTCCTGCTGTTACAATGTCAAACTTGTAAAAGTAGAAGAAACTTTTTTGGTGCTATATTACTAAAGAACCCTTGAATAACCACATTAAGTGTGTATTTGCAACACTATCATTTACAAATACAAAATGACTACCCCTTTAACCAAGTAAAGAGCTGTTTTCTAGTACATCACACCAGAGACGTTAAAGGGAGGAGACAGGTCACTGGTTGGAAAATGAGTGTGAAAGCTTGTAAAGCTTTATGGCATTGCTTTATGTAGAAATTGCAGCTCTTAAATATAATAAGCCAATCAGCCGCAGGTGGAGATATTGGAGATATCAGAGAACGTGTAGTCAAGAGAATTGCCATTCGGTAATGTCCTCCGGCTTTGTCAGATGCTAGAGTTCAAAATGATGGAGCTGTGGAGCTTTTGTGCATAATCATAGTTTGTAAATGTAAATTGTAAATAAAACATTTTTGTCTATAGAAAAATGCAGTAATTTTCTGACCACAGAACGTTCTAAAATATTTCAACGCTGCTGTTATATTTTTGAGTTTTTGAATTCCAGTTATAGGACTTTCTAACTGCCTCATGTACATTGATGAGATCAGTGAATGTGAAAAACCCTGCCGCAGAAAATCAGAAAGATTCTGGTAAGTCTTCTTTCAGTTTTTTAAATTGAAGGAAAATCCTGCACAAATGGTTAAAAACAAGTTTCATTTGAGCCAGACGCTACAAAGTCCTCTTGATTTTGTCAGATTTACCAGTGATTTCAAATATAGTTTTGAAACGGTAATTTAGCCTTCAGTTTCAGGTTTATAGATCTCTTTCCCCATTCAAAGAGGTAGCAGCCTGGTCTTGTATGACTGGAAATAACTGCCCTGGGCCAGAGTTTCCCATAAGGACTTAACAAATTCAATTCTTTTTACAAATACGAAGATTTAGCAAAGAAATAAAGCATTGTTTTCCATATCACACAAACAAATACAATCAGTTCTACAAATACTAAACTTTAGACAAATATGTTGTGTTCCATTTGTGAATCATGACTTTTGCCATGCTATTTTATTTCCATTCTAAAGATTTTTTCACAAATAGTTTGAGCATTGTTGCCTTCCTCAGCGGTAAGTGGCGCTATGCATCTACTTACAAGACCCTCAACTCCCTTAGACTTTAGAGCGTATTTGAATGTTTCAAACCAGTATTTGCTGATGTGTTTATTGTATTCTGGAACAGCAGAATTTTTTGCCAGAATGTCTGCATTTTATTTATTTTATTAATTTTCCTGTGTTCTTACCCAGCAGAAATGAATTTCTCCGTAATACTAATCCAGATAGATGAAGTCCCAGTTTCTACATTTTATAAATGTTCATTTATTGGCATCAGCAGATCTGCACACAGGTTTTGCACACAAGTTTTGATCCATGTCTGCAGCAAAACTCAAGCCTAACAGGCATCAGCAGATGCTAACTTGTCATTTCCCCATTTCTTGCAGAGTTTGCAGTAGTAAATGAGTCATGTCTGGTTTTGTCACTTCTGCTGTGAGGCACAGTAAGTGTTCTGTTTTGCTTTTTTTCCCAGATTGAAAACTCTAAAAAGTGATGTGTTAAATAACATACGTGTTACCTGTTTTAACACATTTTATATCATATTTTTTCTGTTTTAACACATGCTCTATTAAAAGCAGGGTTTGATATTTTCATTCATTTTTATTTTTATATTATTATTATTTTATTTTTTTTCAGTTTACTTTCTTAGGTTTTACACCTTTTGCTCAATTTTGGCACTAAATTCACTCCATACTCCATGATATTTCCAGCCAATTTTTTAATGACATATTTATTGTATGCTGGAACAGCAGAACGTTTAGCAGAATGTCTTTTTTTTATTTATTTTACTTGTTTATTGCATTTGTTACCCAGTAGAAATGAGTGTGTTACATTTCTCCCCAGTGCTAATCCAGATAGATGTAGTCCCAGTTTCTACATTTTATAAATGTTAGACTCCATCAATCCTGATGCCAATACATAAACATTATATAAATGTTTCTAAATATTTACTATTAACATCAGCAGGTACTTAGAAAGTATCAGCTATCGGCATCTGGCCACAATTCCGAAATCGGCGCATCCCCAATATTTACTTACAGAATGTTTATAACACAACTTTTTCAGCATGTTTTTGTCCATCTAGTTTTAGTTTGTTTTTATTGTCTAAAAAAAGGAGTAGTGTTAGTTGAATTCTTGTTTTAGTTGTAGGTTTTAGCATTATGATGAGCACTGTCATAGTAGATATTTAATAAGAGTAGAATAAAATTAAGATAGTAGACTGAGCTCGGCACAACTCCAGCTTTCCTTAAAGACGACCAAACACAGAAGACTTCCACTTCTAAACTCTTAATCAAACGCTGAAAAAAAGAAAACTAAAGTTCTTTCTCAATAATTCTATTTTGTTTTAGTTAGTTTTGCAGTGAAAGTTATAGTTTTGATTTCATTTTTGTCTTTTTAAAATTTAATATTTTTAAATATTTTTATTACAGTTAACAGTTATTACAGCACATTTTTCACTGCTAGTTTTCATTTTAGTGATAATTTAGTGAACTATAATAACACTGGTTAAATATAACCCAAAATGTATTCTGAGTAACTGGGCACAGAAATATTAGAAGTAGCACAAAATGTGTTGTTCTTCACTGAACATGCTGATGCATCTAGTTACAGACACAATGTGTTGTTTTTAACACTTTTGAGAGTGAAGTGGGAGGCCACTGACAAAAAGCAGTGTTGTATCATAGCCTTAAACATTACAGTAGTTTAACAGAAATGGCATGTTTGATGCATAAAGAAGGCGAATCACCCTCCACCACAGTGATCTTATAAATCTTTTACATGTGTGCTGAGCTTGAATGGTACAATGATCTGAAGAAAAACTGCTGCATACTGTTCAAAAAGGCTTAAATCTTGTTTTTATTTTTCATAGCAGTACAAGTTATGCTCACATGATTTATGTCAGCAGACATTTTAGTGCTTTCTTTATCTAATGACATTCTTCACAAATTAATGAAACAAACATTTTATGGCTTTTAACGGCTTTTCATGAATACTTTATGAATACAGCGGGTCTCTTCAGTACAGTATCTCAAGTTTTTACATCAGTAAAGTTTTGTAATTTTATAATGTATCAATTCTAAAGTTTAAGATAGTTCCACAGCATGATAGATCCCATTTGGCCCAACATAAGCATTTTGGAATGTGTTAAGTTAATTCTAGTATTAAGAAGGTACTTATAGTCTCCAGTGCAAAACTTTCAATGAATAAAAAAGGCAGTGTGACTTGCTTGTTTACTTGCTATACCACTTCACCCACTAACATATAACGTTCACCTAACTGTTTGCGCTTGACTGCTTATTTAAGACTTTAAAATGATAAATAATGAATGTCATTCTGCAGGTTGTGGAGAATCTGTTTGAAAACGCTTAAAAAGGATGAGCTGCATTATGAATAAGAGGGAGATACATAGATGTGGTCTTTTTATAGTAGAGTCATGGGTATTATCATATCAATATGAATGGCCCCAATAAAGAATTTAAGGGGCCCTGTTGCCACGGCGGCAAAACCCCTGGCCCCCTTAACCCATTCATCTGCACTCATAGTAGTTACGCCACTGCGCTGTTCTTTAAATGCTATAAAAGGCTATTTTGATACAATCACCAGTTTTATCTCTTGGACATCAGTAGTACATGAATTAAGTTGATGTTCATACAGCATTATCCCATTATTTTCACTAATCTGTAATCTAGGTGATTCATCATTATTGAGCAGTCCTATAAATTTCAAATCAGCATGAATTGATGTTACAAGCCTTTTCTTCATAGGTGAAGGCGAGCTTATTTTATTTCATGCTGGACTGAGACTGAGGGATTTGTGGCTTTGAATAGGCTGCAGTACAGACATGCAGAGATGTAAT